CCAAAATCTGTTAACGAGTCCTGTCTCGTACTCCAAACTGTATTAACACTCTTCTATAAGCCAAGAAGTTGACTGAGTAAAGCCAGTGAAGAGCAGAAGCAGGAGATGAATGATGATATAAAAGGAGCAGAGTTTATTGAATAGTCTGAGTTGCGTATGTTTCTATGCTCAGACTTCGTCTGAAAAATACAAATCCAACAAGTGTTATTACACCACAAGCAATAGCAATGGAAAATTATGGCTTCACAACATCGTCCCGTGACATTAAAAACCATGAAGACATTCTCTTGTCTAGTACACAAGGACAGATATCCCTTGAAACCACACAATCATAAGACTGAACAACGGAAAAATTATATAAAAATAATAATTTATGACTAAGCAATTAATGAATCAAATATACTAATCGAAATTAGTTTATAAATGGTTAAAATTATTATTATTATAAATGATTATAAATTAATGAATAAATGGAGAATAAACAAATATAAAAAAGTAAAACAACACAAATATATTGTTGCTCTCTTGTCTAATACCCAAAATCTGTTAACGAGTCCTGTCTCGTACTCCAAACTGTATTAACACTCTTCTATAAGCCAAGAAGTTGACTGAGTAAAGCCAGTGAAGAGCAGAAGCAGGAGATGAATGATGATATAAAAGGAGCAGAGTTTATTGAATAGTCTGAGTTGCGTATGTTTCTATGCTCAGACTTCGTCTGAAAAATACAAATCCAACAAGTGTTATTACACCACAAGCAATAGCAATGGAAAATTATGGCTTCACAACATCGTCCCGTGACATTAAAAACCATGAAGACATTCTCTTGTCTAGTACACAAGGACAGATATCCCTTGAAACCACACAATCATAAGACTGAACAACGGAAAAATTATATAAAAATAATAATTTATGACTAATCAATTAATGAATCAAATATACTAATCGAAATTAGTTTATAAATGGTTAAAATTATTATAAATGATTATAAATTAATGAATAAATGGAGAATAAACAAATATAAAAAAGTAAAACAACACAAATATATTGTTGCTCTCATGAAGCAAAACAGTTTGCATTTGAGGATCCTTAGATCTTTTGTTGGCAGAGCAAGTTTAAAGATATTTTTTTTCTAAGTTATACTTAACTGAGTAATAACCCATCCAGTTTAACGTCGAGAGATATTTGAATGTAACTCACTCAAAGTAGTACTGAGGTTTGTTCCTGCCAGACCAGTGCAACAGCCCATGTCAAATAAGTTCAACCTGACTGTTGTTGACCAAGCACTCCTATCTGCATACTGGGATAAATTATGTTTCTGGCTTCTGTAAAGAATGCTTTGATATTAGATTGAAAAGTTAGATTTTTTTGCCTTTGCAGTGTTTACTTTGTATTGATTCTGGTAGTGTGGTACCATTATGGTCTGCTTTTCATATACTTATATATGAATACTAATAAGTATACTTATTGTTTTTTTTAATCAGATAAGGGTTTAAAATCCGCACGTTCTGTATATACACCATTTTCTTTGAGAACTCAAATCTAAATGTCTGCAATTTGTGCTTTTCAGGGTCATTGAAATAACTTGGGACCAGTTTTTGGGGAAGACATTTTCTTGAACTCTATCATAAGGTGCCTTTCAACAGTGGTCTGGCTGAGTATCACAAGCATTATGACACGCAACCTCTGCAAGCGTCATGTAGCAAAAAAACTACTTTAAGACACTTGTTGCACTATTTAAACTTTTGTTTTTATGTTTGTAAAATGTTTTATTTACCTTTTAAAGTCTACTTTGAATTTTAATTTTGATGCAGACCATGAGAAGATCTAGTTACATGAAGGAGAATCAAAGGTTACAAGAGCATTATGTTGTTTGGTTTGCCCAAATCTCATAGCGGAGTTTAACATTTAGGCAAACTTTTATATTATACTGGAGAAGACAAGTTCATTTAACTTTTTTTTTTTTAATATATTTTGTTGTAAGAGATCTTTAAATGGGATTTTTGTGAATATTTCCGTTTTTAAACATTGCTGAACTTTTTAAGTTGGGAATATATTTGTCTTTTCAGTAGCAAAAAAACTACTTTAAGACACTTGTTGCACTATTTAAACTTTTGTTTTTATGTTTGTAAAATGTTTTATTTACCTTTTAAAGTCTACTTTGAATTTTAATTTTGATGCAGACCATGAGAAGATCTAGTTACATGAAGGAGAATCAAAGGTTACAAGAGCATTATGTTGTTTGGTTTGCCCAAATCTCATAGCGGAGTTTAACATTTAGGCAAACTTTTATATTATACTGGAGAAGACAAGTTCATTTAACTTTTTTTTTTTATATTTTGTTGTAAGAGATCTTTAAATGGGATTTTTGTGAATATTTCCGTTTTTAAACATTGCTGAACTTTTTAAGTTGGGAATATATTTGTCTTTTCTTATGTGCCGTTAATGTGTCAGACAAACTACCCACTTAAAATGATTACAATGCATTATGGAATTTGAAAATGGTGGTAATGTCTCCGTATATCTCCTCTTATCCTGTATTTATGGAAACCTCCTGTGAATTTAGACTCTTTGCCAAGTTGTGGAAAATCATTTAAGCATTAGTTTACATCCAGGTTCATGTTCTTGTTGCACTACCGAACTGCTACCTGTTCCGTTTTATTCCTGACTAAAACCATTGTTATAATGTAGTGTTTTTGGTGCAATGTTTTGCTCTCAGAAAGATGTAAGATTCTATTTTCCTTTCTTTTAAATTAAAAGCTTTTAAGATGATCCAGAGGCAAATGTTCCACATTGTTTCTTAAATACAAAAACTTATGTTGCGCAAATCTTAATTTGTGATCTATTGCAGTATGTGACACCTACCTCCTGAAATCTACTGGTAAGGAATGGTAGATTGGTCTAAACTGATAAACCCTTTGTTGTAACCATGTCATTCATTTAGACCGCTACCAAAAACATTCTAACTGTTTATACAGCCTGTATGTTTGTTTAGTTAGTTATTTAAATACTGTGTTAGCTCTAGTTTCCGTCTGCTGTTACTTGTTACCAATCTGTGGCCCTGCCCCTGAGTATGTAGAAGGTTAAAATTGCCCTATTATGGCGTTGATGTCCGCTTAGTTCATTTAGGTTCCCTGTAACAAAACTGGTGTACAAGTTTAGTCAGTGCTACACTTAGTCCACCTTAGATGTAATTAGATGCATAAAATGTTTGTTTGTCACCTAGTTTATTCTATTAGATTTAAACCATTGTCTGGATATCTGTCAGCTAGAGGCGCTTGAGAAACTGCTGAAATATACATCATATACATACTCTGTGCCAAAATAAAGAGGCTTCCATCAACTGCTTTAGGGCCTCAATAACCATTCAACCTGCTGGAGTAATCCAAAAACTGTGTCAAAAGTACAGACAAAAATGGTGCATTATCTTTATACCTATTCCAACCATATGCTGGAGTTGAAGCTTATGAAAATTGTCAGAAGGCCTTCTGTATATTGTCTCATGTTCAGATCTGCCATTTTGAAGTTTTGGCCACTGTAAACTTGTTACCTGGTTCTATATGTTGTACAAAAACATGCAAATTATGTACATGCATTGTATTTTCTCTGTTTTTATACTTGCCTTCAAAGAAGTCGTCTCAATCGTTAGAACAATAAAAACTCTTGCAAACATTTTGAGTAATTGTGTTGTAGGTTTAAACATTTTTAGTCAGACTAAAAAATGTATACAAATGAAAGCGTTTTTTTACTTTCAAATATTAGCCATTATTAAAGGGGTCATTTAATACTGCTAAAAAGAACATTATTTGGTGTAATGAAATGTTTATGCGGTTTAAAGTAAAAAAAAAAAACATTTTCCACATACTGTACATTATTGTTTCTCCTCTATGCCCCGCCTTTTTGAAACATCGATTTTTACAAAGCTCATCGGTCTGAAAAAGCGAGGTGTGCTGTGATTGGCCAGCTATCCAATGCTTTATGATTGGCCGAATACCTCAAGCGTGAGATGGAAATATTACGCCCTTCACCATACTGTGATGCCATGTCCGGCCAGAGCGACGAGACAAAAACATTAAAACCCATTACAAACGAGGCATTTGTTGCATCAAGTGGGGACTTAATTACTGATTATAATGACTTATACGTGTTGCATTGCATCGCGCCACGTAAACAAAACTATGTCTAAAGCCTTTAAATGAAAACGTACTTACGTGAGTCAGAACTGCCGGCATTTTAGTCTAACGTTACTCTCCCAGGATCAGTAAACAGTTCTCCATAAAATGCGCTGCACACATCTGGATATTTGGGTTAAACTGTTCTGGCACGGTATTGCAAGTACAACTTAACCACTGATTTGTAGTCGTGTCCTCTTTTGGAAGACCAAACAAAGTAGTTTCGCTTTCACAACGAAAAACACAGCGGCCTAGCGGAAGCCCCGGCTTAGTGTGAGCTGAGGCCGGGATAGAGTGAGCTGAGGCGGCGGGGTCGAGAACGGCGCAGCCGACGGATCCGACGAATGAGCGGCAACCACATGTGACGACCCTGGGCTGAACTCGGCTTCGTCCACGGTGAAAGTTGATGTATTCCCTCAGCGACCAGCACAGATCAGCTCTAGGCATGACGAAGCGCATATCGTCCTCTTTTGAAAGACCAAACAAAGTAGTTTCGCTTTCACATCGAAGCACACAGCGTCTTCACGACATGGCTGCAGCGTCAACAATACTAGAGTGAGAATAAAAATTATGCCGCCTTTCTTTGCGTGAACATTTGGGCAGCGTTATGCAAATCTTCCCAAATAGTGAGGTAGATATGTGGGGGCGTGTTAGAACGAGCCGTTTTAGGTAGGCGTGATTGAATCTTAACTTTTATAAAGAATATCTCTTTGGATTTGAGACTTTAGTCTTTGCAACTTTACAGATCTTTTTTATGCACCAAGAGCTTGTAACACTCCAAAGAGAAAGGAAAAATGAAATCGCATCATATGACCCCTTTAACATACACCAACTGTTTATAGTAGGATCAGTTTCCTTAAAATACCCATTATAAAAAGGGAATAGTTTGGCTCACTAGCTCTTACACATTTTTTAGAACAGCCTTGAGCAAGTAAATGAATGTTAACATGACTCCTACCCAAAGATAACCTCAAGTATGACATTCATTTTGACAAGACCTTATTCCAGGTTGAAACTGTAAATAGTCAGACTAAACGGTTACACTAGTCTCTTTGTATTAAAATTTAGCAGTATATAATTTCTTAGGTAAGTCTAAAGAAGCTGTAGAATGTAATGGGGCAAAAGTGGACCTTAAGTAATCCACTCTTATGAACCATTGGCCTCCTGGTTCATAAGGGCAGTCAGTTTATCCAAAGCAGCAATCTTGGCACGGCGACTTGGTGACACTGATGGAGGTGCTTCAGGAACATTCTCTTCATCACTATAGAAAGATTAGATGGACCACAAAAAGATAAGCAAAAATGTACATTTGAAATTAAAACGATTAGTTAAGAAGCAGAATAAACCAACCTTTCATCAGAGGACAACTCTGCTTTCCTGGCTTTCTTCCCATTCTTTGCCGTGGAAGCTTTTTTCTGGCCTGAAACACAGCAGAGTGAAAGTTAATACAACAATCACATAGGAGAAAGATTCACTTGTTGCATTTTACCAAATTAAATGACTCCACATATTTTTGCACATTTAGGTTTGCTCTCCTCTTTGTTCACCTCTGCAAGGATTCACAGATAGTTTTGTTAATGTAAATTACAATGAATACTATAGATATATAAGAAAACCACTTAAATTTTTATACTGAACCTGAGAGAGAATCAACTATCAGTGTATTAATGGACAAAATGTGCCCCCGGGAATGGATTTTAAAGGGTGTGTTTTAACCTTTATGAGGTTTTTTTTCTTACTAAGTAAATGTACACAAGTGTATTGCTTATTTACTAGGGCTGGGTAAAAAAAATATATCGATATCTCGATTTTAATCTATTCTCATTTTTACGGAACGATATCGATTCTTAAATCCCAAGAATCGATTATTCTAGCCTGTTTTCAGTTAATGGACGGAAAGTTGAAGGGCACCTCCCATCCAATATATCGCAATAAGCATTGTGCTTTGGTGCTTTTAATATGAAACAAAGTCTCAGATTTCAAATTCTATCCATTGTATTGCTGTAATTAAACAATAAATGCCGTTTTGGCACTGTTTAATGTGAAGTGACAGATCGCTGTAGAGCGGCGCGCCTCAGTTCAGTAAAAGCGGCAGCGCGAGGCGCACGTGAACTGATCATCTCCACATCAATACCAGTTTCAGCACAAAATAATCATGACTAAACATCCGAAGTTAAAAGAAAGAGTACAACTTTACAATCCTTATCCTGTCATCTCTCAATTAGTGTTTCAGCCGAGCAAAGACGCCAATATAACGCTTGTAAACAATGTCACGTAACGTCAAATTTACCTCAGAAAAACATATCTAAAAGAAAGAGTACAACTTTACAATCCTTATCCTGTCATCTCTCAATTAGTGTTTCAGCCGAGCATGTCTTAAGACGCCAATATAACGCTTGTAAACAATGTCACGTAACGTCAAATTTACCTCAGAAAAACATATTCGGTGACCATAAACTCATTAGTCAGATAGAAAAATACACTGTAGAGAGGGGCATTTTGCTAAATATATGCACCATATAACATATTCATTATAATTTTTACTGTTCTTCAATGTTTCATTTATGTTTTAATAAATCCATCAAGTTTTTGACAGCCACCATTTAAATGTTTATATTTAAAAAAACGAATTGAGGTATTATGTAGCTAATTGTAACTTTATTATTTAAAAAACTTCATTGTGTAATTTTAACAGTTGTATATTAGCCTACAAATCAGTCAATTTTAACCTTCAACATTATAGTAATGTAGTACCAACTGACTTTCATGTATATTTTACAGCATTAGTTGAGATTTTTTTCCTTGAGAAAATTTGACATGTACTGTACCTGATATGTATCCAAAATAATCGATATTGAATCGAATCGTGAAATTTGTCAAAACCCAGCCCTATTATTTACATCAAATACTTTAATTCAATCAATGTAGAATAATGAATTTGAACAATTTTAAACATTATATAATTTACACAATTACATTAAAATAAATAAAATAATATTATATATATATAAATATATATACACACACACACACACACACAGTTATGTATAATAAAGTATTATGAATCTGCACAATTATTACAATTATACCCCCTCTCTTTCAAACTACTTCATAGTAGCTCCACCAACACTCGCCACAGAGTGAATTCACATACTAAACTATATGGGTCTAAAAACATCAATGTTAGATGGATAAAGACTGGTAAAATGTGTTAGCTAGTACCTCCAGTGTTCTCATCCAAGGTAAGCAAAGTTGTGTCCTGATTACCGCCTGATTTGGAACAACGATCTCCATTTAGCTGGTTACAAAGCTTCTCAATAACCCTTGTACAGTACTTATTTTTCACTTCCTGTAACCCACACACACTCAAGAGAAACAGTCACTCAATCATAATTGCTTACCTTAATGGCAATCTTATCTGACAGAATATTTCATTAATTCACATCAATTTCTGCTTAATCTGCAGCTTTTATCCAATGCTTCTTTTCAACCATTTACAAATTCACAAAAGATACATAACTATGGAAGTACCCGTAAAATATATTTTAACAGGAGTTGCAATTCACTGTTAGCAGGTCCAGGTTCAGTGTTAATCTCTAGCCAGCTGAGAGTTTTACAGTACAGATGCATCTCAGGAGCAGAAATGTCCCTCAAGATTTTATTACAAATACGCACTGCCAGAGAGTCATGCACAGACACAGCCTGCAAAAAAAGTTCATTTACGAATGAAATGATCATTTACATAATACATAGTGATTTGAACACAACCCATTAATGTTATTTTTGCAAGCGTGCATGTATATTCAAGTGTACCTGTACGGCAGCAGGTTCCACAAGAGCGCTGGGTCATGTTAGTTCAACAAACGGTTCAGCCACGTTGGATGCGACTAAACA